TTCCTCTAAAACCAGTTAGCAATGAGGACTTTTGCTTCTGATTATAACAGATAATATTGGTCTAATCCTGCCACCAAAAATAATTATTAACTCTGGGAAATTATTAAAAGCTTGTTTGAAGTCATCGTAAAATGACCAAGGTAGAAAATACATAATGGGTCTAGATGCCAGGGAGAAGGAAATTGAGATGAGTCCCACATTTACCTCAGTTTCCCCCCTTGGGTCATTTGCCTATTAACAGAGCAAGATAATAGAAGCTGAGGGAAAATCTGAGGCCTGGGCTTTTCACAGTCTCACTGAGCCAGAGAGACAGAGAGATGGGGCTTCCCGGGACTCAGGGACTTGAGGGGCCCATATTCCAGAGGGGAGGGAGGCAAAGAGAAGAAATTCTAAAAGTCTTTGTGTAATTTCTTACTGAAACATTTGCCTACTGCTAAGCTACATATGTTCTGGATGAAATGCCAAGAAACTAAATGGGAAGCACCTTCTAAGAAGTCAGCAAGCTACGCAGAGATTCTGATAATCTTGTGATATAAGAAGACAAAGATTAGAGTTCAAAATATACCAACTATAGGGGCCCTGGTTAATACTCTAGGCTTTCAGTTGGGACCTCTAGCAGGCTACACCCTGAGTATCAAAATCAAACTCTAGGAGTAAGGACAAACCAGAAATAGAACAGCCCTTACAAGTGCTAAAACCTAGCTTCACCTAGAGCAAAGTGATTGATTTGTATTCCATCTGCCTTCAGGAAAACAAATTCTTTCTTGGGGGCATTTATAATTTTTCATGAAAAATTTTTGACATTCAACAGAAAATTACTAGGCATACCAGGAAATGAACAAATGACCATAAATACAGGAAAAAAATAGACAATAAACATAAATCCACAAATAATCTAGATTCTGAAGATGTAAGATATTAGTATTTTAAAACAATTATGATTAATATGATCAAGAAAACAGACTAAAAAATGGAGAATTTCATCAGAATATTGGTATCTCTTTAAAAAGATCAAATGGAAATTTTAGAGCAAAAAAATATAGTGGCTGAAGTTAAGACTGTGAGGGTATTCTTCATTCCGTATGGCCTGGGTGTTGAAAGAGAAAAGTTCAGTGCAGGCAGAGAAGCTGGCAAGTTAACGAAGGAAATCCTAAAAGGGAGGGAGCTTCAGAAGAGGTGAACCCCATAGTTTTTGTGTAAACCCCTCCCAAATCTTTAACTGACCTCTAAGCTATACACATAGGGGGACCCCAGTGAGTCTGACCAAAAAAAATCCTGCTGGAAACCAAAAGAACTGAGAAGAGACTTCCACTTCTGCTCACTGGAGGGGTAACAGTTTTAAGAGGACTGGCAAGTTATCTTCCTACTAGAACAAAAGTCAATACTCCTTAGAGGAGTATCACAGAATCCAGAGACTTTACAATGTATCATCCAAATGTCCAGGATAAAATTTTTAAAATAACTAGATATGTGAAGAAATAGGAAAATATGAGTCATAATGAAGATATTAGAAGTTGATAGAAACTTATCCTTAGATGACCTAGATGTTTCACTTAGCCAACAAGTTCTAAAAGCAGCTACTATAAATTTATTCAAGAACTTAAAGTACTTAATGAGCAGAGAGGAGAATCTCAGCAGACAAATAAAACCTATAAAGAAAAGAAGAACTAAGTGGGAATTTTAGAGCTGAAAAATAAATAATTAAAATGAAAAATTTACTTGATGGGCATAACAGCAGATTAAAAATGAAAGAAAGAGCAAATGAATTTGAAGATAGATGAATAGAAATTATCTAAAAAATGAAAAGAAAAGGATTAAAGAAAAATAAACAGAGACTCAGTCTTGGAGGACAATATCAAGCAGTCTGATATTGGTGTCATTGGAGTTCCAGAAGGTAAGGAAAAGAGGGGCAGAAAAATTATTTGAAGAGATAATGCCAGAAACTCCCCAAATTTGTGAAAGAAATAACTTTCAGATCCAAAATGCTAAA